CCTTTACCTGTCTCTGCTCAAGGGGGGTTGTGTATGAAAGATGAGACTAACACTGCTGTGCTCTCCCTCTCTCCAGTTATGAAACTTATTCCAGGACTGCGAGAGAAGACAACTGGCGTGTTGAACCAAAAGAACCTGAGACCAAAAGGTGCATGGCTTTACAAACCAGACATTTATATAAAAGTGACAATTATCTATCTGAGCACTGGATATTTACTCTCTCTTTCCGTTACCTGTCTCTGCTCAAGGGGGGTTGTGTATGTGAAGGAGTATGTCAATACAACAGGCACATTTGATAGGTAGGACTACATCATTTACACAATCAACAAACAATATTGATAAAAAAAACAACTGCCAAATAAATACTACTATAATGATGATTTACTTATTTCTCATTTCCACAGTGGGTTAGATTATGTGACATCAAGCTCTGCCAGATCCTCCTACAGCAGCCCCTCTACTTACTCCAGGTAATAACACAATCTCTACACCTGCGTTAAACCCATTTTAACGTTACATTTCAATTCATTTCAGTGCTTATACTGCATCTGACACTGCAATCCTCAAAGGTCTTAATCTTTGAGCAATTAAAAAAACACTTCCCACACCTTGAGTTTACTTTAACTGCTTCCAGTCCATAGACTTCAGGTGACACTTGAGCTGGTATCTTCCTTCAGTTTCTGGACTTTAAACAAAACTTTCAGGAATTCCATTTAAACTGACTAATCCAGCTGAGTGACAGTTCAACTCCTTTCAAGGTTTTTGTTTCAAGAAAAAAAAAAGCTACAGTTCACTCAGTGCCTTAATTTGGTGCTCACACTTCCATTGAAGCTTGACCCTCTCTTAGCACTTCTTAGCACTGCCAGTTAGACTACTGCCACTTCTACTATTTCCAGTCTTCCTATTTCAACAGTTTTCAGTATTTGTATTGCAACTAAAATACTTTCTCCCACTGCCTTGTTATTTCCAAAACTAGATGTGTGTAAGCAATAGGGCAGAAATTCTGCCAAGCCTATTCATTAGAAGCTTAAGCGGGAGCAAAATTGTCTCAATTGTTCTCTCCCCCCACCGCCACAGTGGCTCGCTGACATCCAGTTGTACGTACTGTGGACAACAGGTGGGCAGTGATGACAAGATCACCATTGAACATCTCAATATTAACTGCCACTCTTCGTGCTTCAAGGTAATTCATCTTTTTGCTCGGGTACAGTTCTGCTGGAGATACAATGTGCCATTTATTAGCCTTAGATGTATTCACAGGTCCTTGAAGGGACTGACCTGGAAAAGAAAATTAAGCATTTGTTCACTTTAAAAAGAATGAATTTTTTTTGTATACATGTTTATCCATTTTTTTGCCAAGAGTAGGACAAGATGCTTGATATAACCTTAGCTCTGCATAAAGACTATAATAGGGAGAAACTCTCCAAAGTTCACCCACCAACAACTCTGAAGCTTAATTAAAAGCCTAAACATATTATATCTCATTTGTGTCAGATTGTTTCTAAGCCAGATAGTGACTAACCCTGGTCAAGAAATAGCCTGACATATAACCTTTTGAAAAACACAAGATATGTTTTACCAGTTCTTTATGCTAAGCTAGGTTAACTGGCTGTGGTTCATATTTGACTGATACAAGAATGGTCTTCTTACTTAACTCTCGGTGAGGCAGCCAATGAGCCATGTTTCCCAAACTACTGAACAATTCATTTAACATCTATAAGAACTTCAAATACAAGCAGTTATTGTGTTTTCAAAGCTACAAAAGTTTTCAAATGTGTGTATTATGGAGCAAAACAATTATATAATTTCAAAGCTAAAGACACTGCTTTCCACTGTATTTTCTCAGAATTACAAATTCTAATAAGGGTCTCATTTTTCCAGTGTGGTGTGTGTAGAAAGCCTATGGGAGACCTCCTCTCCAGTATGTTCCTACATGGTGGGAAAGTCCACTGCGAGAGCTGCTACTCCAAAGCCCTCGACTGATTATGGAAGCTCCTCACCAGCCTCTTATCCTCATCCTGTTCCCTTCATGTTCATTTGCATATAAAGTGAGAACTGCTCTTTCACAAAGCTTTGACTCTGTTTGGTTTGAACTTAGGAATGTGGCGGTTTGGGGAGATCAAAGAGGTCGTTACACTGAACAATAAAGTTACTTAAAATTGATTCCTTGTTAAATTCCTCAAATATGCTATACAAGTTTTTTATGGTGTTGAAAGCTACATCTGCCTATGAAGGAAATGATTACTTTATGTGCTATACATATAACTGAACTGACTAAAAGTGGCAAATGGGGTACTAATTGTAATTTATCAACAGTTATGGAAGAAAATGAATGTTACAAAGTGTTTACTACTTTTGTTCTTGATACAAACTAGTGTGTTCACATACATGATGCTTTGTTAACAAAATAAAATGATTTTTATGATCCTGGTATGAAAGTGATACAAAGGTAGTGCACCAGTAGACACAGAAGACCGTCCCAAGCAGTTACATGTTTAAAAAACTGGGATTAAAGAATTATTGTACATAAAGATGATCTTGGCATCCTGGAACAGAAAACAAGTGTAGCTGTATTATACAGTATCTAGTACAGTAATGACGTGCTGTTCCTGAGAGCTAGTTTTCATTTGGAGAGGTGATTTCCCACTTGTGCTTAACTTTTAAATCTGATGTTCTCCACTTCTTGGTGAAATAACATTTTCCTTGCATAGTGACTTAAAAGCTGTGTACAGAAATGTAACTATAATAACCATCACCTACCTGCTGGGTAACTTTAAAGAAGCTAATGCAGTTCATTAGCTACTGTCTTTACACTCGGTTAGACGCAGCTCCTGGGGTACAGAGGGCAGGATTCTGGCTCTGCCCCAGTCCAATGAAACTGTGCCTCCTGTGAGTACATGCCTTTCTGGAACAACTGCACTGCATGTAGTTAATGTTAACATTTCAAGGAGGAAAATGGGTAATGATGGGATCTCAGCCATAAAACAATGTGAAAATATTAGCACAGAGCAGTCTAAAACATCTTCCCATTACTGCATTTGGGATAAAGAACAAATAAAAAGTATCACATCAGCTTAGTACAATGTCTATAGATAGGAGTTTTGACTCAGGTGCATAAATGAGTCATTTCTGCTTCATTCCCTCATTTAAACAGAGGGGGTAATATGGGACACCCCTGTAATTCTGGATGTGCTCCATCCTCTGTTTGTTTCGAGGCCTGTGTCAGTGTTTTCCTCTGGCTCGGCTCATGGCTATAGTTTGGATGTGCTTCCACAGCAGGGAAGGGTCTGACTCGTTATGTCTTATCAGAGACTCCAGCCCCTCTGCTTGGTCCAGGCTCTGCCAGTAATCCTGAGGCCATATTTGTAACCATCTGTGAACAGATATACAGATTACAGAGGATATTTTAATGAGACAATTAAAACACTTTTCCTTGTCCCTCGGGACACTGTTATTCACATTAAAGTACAGAAGTAGAAGGTGTTCACACTTGGCACAGTGAATAATTTAAAACAAACTTACCCATCATCTGCAGGTAGGTCTTGCACATCTCCGTACCCTGGGCTGGGCAGGGGGCATCCCATGTGAGAGTTATCGGCCATTTGAGGCTGAGGAGGTTGGTTTTTCTTGGGGGCTTTCCTAAATGCTCGTTCTGCTGCTAATCGCGCATTCTCCTGATCACACACATAACATTCAAACCCATTCAAGTAGTTAGGTTTACTCATGTCATTAACCCCCCACTCACGAGTCTCTAGAGCCTCCAGCAAGAGTGAATTCGTAATGTGTCTGGGGTTCTTGAACTCTAAATATTTGACATATTCTTCATCATTCTCATCAAGATGTTTGAGGAAGTCAGCAAGAGCTTTTGGCGAGGGGAAGTTATTTATGATGACTGCAGAATGGTTGTTGGGCATCCAGTCTGCCACCACGGAGGAGCCTCGATAGACAGGCACACAGCCCTGATGGAGAGGCCGCCACAGCTTCTCCGTCATATAATCTGGACAAAGGCCATTCTCTAATGCCAGGTGGAACTTGTAGCGTGTAACAAAATTCATGAACCCGGGTTCCTCGCCGGTAGCAGTGGCTGTGTCCTCCAAATGTTCAGGTATTGGTTTATTGTTCAAGCATTTCCCATAAGAATCCACCTAGAGAAACGTGTGAGAAGGGAGAAACATGGAGTCGTAGTTAGGAAACACATGGAAAGTGATTATTTATGTGACACTGGCAGATTCTTAATGGTCAACATCTTTCATAAAAGCTTGATTAAGAATTTCTAACTGAACTCTAACCTATCATTACCTCATGGGACTTCACAAACATCACACTGTGGGTTATGCTTACATTTACAGTGGTGTTACCGCAGTTGCATGGACAAAGATTAATTATGTA